CGATCCGAGAAATCCGCGCGGACCTCCGAGTTTTTATGTTTATGCCACTTTTTGTTCCCCTTATCCACATCCGTTATCCACCCCTCGGCCCCCTCCTCGCCCGCTCTGTCCTGCCTTCGCGAAATGCCTGGCCACGCGCCCCCCCCAAGCGTCGAGCCGGAAGCCCGCGGGCGCAGGTCTGAGCCAGCGGAGGCACGGGGGGAACAGCGACTGCGTCACCTCGCACGCCAGCGAGGAGAAGGGGGAGGAGAAGGGGGGGAGGACCAGGTTGAGGAAAAGAAGAAAGGGGGGGAAGAACAGAAAGGAGGAGGGGAGGAGGACGAGAAGGAGGAGGCGGAGAAGAATGAGGAGGAAGAGGAGGAGGAGGAGGAGGAGGAGGAGGAGGAGGAGGAGGAGGAGGAGGAGGAGGAGGGGGAGGGGGGAGGACGAGAAGGAGGCGGGACGGAGAAAACGAAGGCCGAGGACGAGGACGAGGACGATGCGAATAAGCATGACGTCAAGGACAATGGCGGGGGCGATGACGACGACGAGAAAGAAGAAGAGGTGGAGGAGGAAGGGCAGAAAAAAACACTAAGAGGATGAAAGGAACCGACATGATTTTCATTGAACTGCCCTGGTTTGGGTTGAGATGGCATTGAACGGCGCGGGCGTGCTGTCATCAGCTGTTCACCTGCGGAACCCTAGGCGCATATGTTCACAGATCGTTTGCTGTTGATCCACGACCGAGCCCCGTGGAACGTTGGTCGTGGTAGAATGCCAAGTGCAGTCCCCGGCAGTTCCCCCCTCTCCTCACATCATGTTAGGTCGGGCATGTCCCCCATCAGATCTGGCCCCCACCCAAAAACAAAGTCCCCGTATAAATTGTCACCACTAATGATGAATACTCCTTCTGTAAAGGGACATGCCCGACTCGAACATGTGGCGCGTGCGCCGACCCCCCCCCGAGGCTTCCTGGGCGGCCCAGCCCCTCCCTGGGGCTCTCAAGAGCTCCCGACGGCCTCCGAGACGGCCAGGGAAGCCCACCATGGCCTCGAGAAGCCCCAAAAGTCCCCGTGGAAGACCACGCGAGGCCGCCAGAGAGGCGCCCGAGAGGGCTCCACGGCGCCAGAGAGAGAAGGCGAGGAGGCCTTTCCAGACAGACCGCCTTGTGCGACGGAACACCGTGCGCGCCCCCGCCGTGGCAACCCGAGGAAGCTCCCAGAGGGCGCTCGAGGAGAGATGAAGATACCAAAAAGAGCCCAATGAGGGCCCAATGAGCCCAATGAGGGCCCCCCAATGGACCTAAAGATAAAGATGCCAAAAGAGCCCAATGAGGGCCCCCAAACGGCCTCCCAGGCGACCCAGGAAAGACGCGAGAGGGCCGCAGGACAGCCCAGGAAAGGCGCCCAGGACAGTCCCGAGAAGGCCCCAGGACGGCCCGAGAGGGCCCCGGGAGGCCCCAAGACTACCGCGAGAGACCCCCAAGACGGCCCAGAGGAGCCCAAGGCTGCCCATGACTGCACAAACACGGCCCGGGGAAGCATCGAGACAATCCAAAATGGCAACACGAGGGCCCCAAGAATACCCCACAGGAGCCCGAGACAGCCCCAGGACTGCCCAGATAGGCCCCAGGACAGCCACTCCAGGAATAGATACGCGAGGCGCCACAAAGACACGAGGACAAGTTGCACACCTGGAGGCGCGCGGGACACCGGCGCGGAGGAAAAACTGAAACTAGAGAGCCCACACCGAATAGCAACTGAAACTGCGCCCTTTCCAACAACATGTTGCCAAGCTCCTTCACGAATCAGAACTGGGATGGCATTGGCCGCGCCGCTCGCTGCCGCGATCGCCACTCGCGGCGCCTGAGCCGCCCAGTCGGCGCGCGGCCCAGTCTGGGCAAGACGCTGTCTCTCTCGGGCGACCCCGCCCGGCGCCTCCGCTGCTTTCCCCGCAGCAGAGGCTGCCGTCTCGCCGCGGCGCCCCTCGGAAGGGCCCGGCTTGTCTCGCGGGCAACTGCGGCGTCGTTCGCTCTGGATAGGAAAGCGGGCGCGACCCCCGAGATAGAGCGGAGACACCAGCAACGCAAGCCACCCAAACGCCTGCGCCAGGCAACGCTGAGCCAGGTCGATAAGCCGCACGTCAGCTTGCTAGCTAGAAAAAACCCATCGCGCGTCGCACCCTTTCGAAATCAGCCCAAGTTTGGACGCCCCCGTATCTTGACAACTCATCAAAACCAGCCCGCGCCGCGCCCAACCGACGAGACAAATCGTCGCTCGCATCTCCCGCGCCAAAGATTGAAGCCCCAGGGTAGCTCATATCCAGCTGCGCCGGCGTGACGACCCCGCGCGCGCGCCGAACGCTGCTGCACCGTGCTTTCGGCAGCTGGATCCTGCCCAAGCGCGGCCCCACGCCGCGCGCTTCGCCGGCGGCTTGCACCGCCCGCAGTGACGACCCCGCTCCCTCCGCGGTCTGCCCCAGGATCAACGCGTCGTCTGCGCGTAGACATCCCGAGCGAGCTCCGCGACCCCACGGAACCCGGTCTCGCTCGGGGAGTCGCCGCACATCTTGTTCACATGATTGCCATCGCCATAACGAAATGGAACGGCGGCGGCGGGCAGCCTTGCGACGCCCCCGACGCCGGCGGCCTCGAAGAAGACGGAGCACCGCAAAACCGCACTTCAAAGCACCTGTCCGCATAGATGGCACGCACAAACGTCCAGCGCGCGCCCCAGGAGGCCGAAGCGACGCAAGCCGCGGATCACGGCAGGACGGTCGATTGAATCACATGCCTTTTTTCTCCCCAAGAGCCAAAGCGAACAAGTTCGCGACTGATCCTCCGAATTCCAGACCTATTCTCCCACGCGACGCAAACATCCCACGTTTTCATCCGATCCCAAACGGAGATCCCACGCGCAAGGCCCCCACGAAGACGCCGATTGGGCGACTGTTGCAGGAGCCATCTGTTTTGCCGTTTCGGGGAGATTGTCGCGGCCCTTGCTCTGCGCCGATCTTGCTGGGCCAGCCGGCTCTGCCGGCAGGAATTTACAAACGTTGCAATTTGTTGCGGGGCGTCTGGGGCTGCCCGAAAATACTTCCCCGCGCTCTGGCGGGCCCCGCCCAGCCCCTCATCCTTGCCAGAGCGCGCGCGCCGCAAGCAATTTTCCACCTCGTCTTCCATGAACTTCGAGACTTTGATCGACAGCTTGTCTCCGAGGGCTGGGGCGTCGACCACGTCGACCAGACTGACTCCCCGTGGTATTTTATCCAAGCACGTCGCCGCGGATTCCACCTGCTGTTCGCCGCTCACAAACTCTCGTTTCATTTATCGCGACCACCCCTGCGTAGCTGGACGGGGCACGCGGACGCTCCGCGCATCTTTCCGCGACCCTGTCGCCGCCGCTTCTCCCAACCACCCGGACTGATCCAGAGTTGCGGACTTCCCCAGGGCATTGTGCACGCCCTCCTCGCGCCCGGCACTCCCGCGGACTCTCGCCTGCGACCGACGGTGCATGAGCTGGAGGGCGCGGTCGCCGGCCCACGGCCGCCTGGGATGGGGCGCCCCGCCCGGTAGCCCCGCGGCTGCGACGTGGATCGCGGCTGAGATGCCCCCCGAGGTATCTCCCGCCACGTCTGCAGCGCCCAAATCCAGATCTGCGTTCTCCAAAAATTCGGCGGCGAAATGTCGTCGCGTTGACGGGCTCCGCAAACCCTGCGGCCGTTCGCACGCGCGCCCTCGACGCGGGCAAGATTCTTTCATTTCCACGCCGAGCTCACAACATACGAAAAATGCCATGGCGCCAGCGCCGCCTCGCGACGGCTTGCAACCGCAAGCACGAATGTGACGTTCGCGTTCGATGCCAAAAACAGACCCAGCAAAGCGAGTTCTGGGAGCACGACATCGCCCACTGGCCGCGCACCAGCCTCCGCGCACGCCACAAGTAGCGTCGCGAGAGCGCCTTGAAAAGCATTGCTGACGCTGCAAGGCTCAACCGCGCAGAGCTCCATCCGAAAATCCTGATTTGAGCACTCAACATGGCGATTTGCTTCTTCTCCGACGACACGCGGCCCAATGGCGCGTTCCTCTCCCCGTCGGCATTGACCAGGCCCCCCCGTTCATCTCTTGTCCCCCTCACAGATATTGACTTGAGCAGTTCTTCAGAATCCAGCTAAAATAACAGCCTTTCAGGCAGTGGCCGGAGGTTGCGCGGGGCATAGCCGGCCACCAAAGCATGTCAACCTCGACCCCCGCGGACTTTGAGGCGCGTAAGTCTCCCTGAGCACTGTAGGAACCAACGTATTCTTGACGCCATGCGCGGCGCATCTATAGATGCCACTCCTGCCCCCGCGGGTTCGTCGCCTGCGCTCTCGGAGCCCGACGCAATCATGCGACGACCGCCGTCTGCATAGCACCCTGATGTCGGAGCCCGCGCCTCTAGGGGGAAGAAGAAGCCAAGCCTCTCAACGCGCACTGCTTCGCAGACCTCGCGGAGCTTCTCTTCGCCAGGCAGGCGACATTCCACGCGTCCAGCGCGACGTTCCCACGCGGCGCACGAGTAGTTGGACGAGGGCGCGGGCCAGCCGAAGATGCTGAAAAACGAACCGGTGAAACTGCGCCGTCGCCATCCGGGCACCATCGCTTGCCTCCCCCCTAGCATGCGTCGGCGGCGCGGCTGAGAGCCCCCAGGCTCGAAACGCCGAGCTGTTCAAGCTCGGGGTCGCCACGGAATGCGCGCCGCTTCCCCGAGCCCCACAGCCCCCGCGCATTGCACGCAGCGACGTCGCCGACAGAGACTGCCAGGACGCGGGCCCCGCGACTTCCATTGCAAAGGCCTCGTCGTCAATCTTGATCGTTTGCTCTCGAGCGCTCACCCCGTCAGCAAACGTTTGATTCCGACAAGAACAAAGAGGCACTCGACTCGTTGATGGCACGTCTCGGCTCGCCCAAATTACCTTGCCGTTCCGAGCGCGACCATTCAGCGGACATGCCCCACCCAAGCATCCACGTCTGTAGGGCTGCC